GTGAGTCTCCCACAAAGGCAGCGCGGGCTCACACCAGCATAAAAGAGAAGACAAGATCAGAGGTTCTTATAATCACACCAGAGACACAGAGGAATACACGATGATCCAGCCCGACAATGACCAGAACAGCCACCACTATAAAGCCTGCAAACACTTACCAAGGACGTCCCCTACCCCCCAACAACCTCCAACAACACTTATCAAGGGACTAACTGCTGTACTAAATTGAGCATCCAAGGATCATGCATTCTACCCACTCACCCCCCAAAAAACGAGGTCATCATACAGGGAATCAGAGACAACAAGCACATTCATTGCCTAGCAAAAGGTGGTCAGGAATATAAAACCTTGGCGTTTGCAGACGACCTCCTTTTTACCATCTCCAACCCATTATCCACAATACCAAATATCCTAGCGGAGATGAACCTATATAGTAAGGTCTCCAATTTCCGGTCGAATCTCACTAAATGCGACCTCCTACCTATACACACCACAAAATACCTAGATACAAAATTGCAAGAGAGGTTTCATTTCTCCTGGGCACCTAAAACAATTAAATACCTAGGAATTCAAATTCCAACTAAACTACACCAACTATATGAACTAAACTTCCCCCCACAGCTAACAAATATCTCTAACGATCTTCAGAAATGGCACAAACCATGCTTCGGCTGGTTCTACAGAACCAATATAGTCAAGATGAACATTCTCCCATGCCTACTATACCTCCTACAGACACTCCCCATCTTAATTACTAACAAATTCTTCTCCATGGTTAAATCCATTATTACGAAGTTCATATGGGCTAAAGAACACTCAAGGATAGCCCACAAGTCACTAATAAAAAATAGAGAGAAGGGAGGGATTAACCTACCCGACATAGACACATACCACAAGGCAATTCACCTTACAAGAATTTATGATTGGACACACACTAAACAGATGCAACATTGGGTGGTCTTGGAAAACTCAAACTCGTCAATCCCACTGAGAATACGCCCTTGGTTAAGACCAAACCATACGCAACATTAACACCACCATGATTCCCACCCAACCATTACAGCCACCTTACAAATATGGCATAAATTACTACTTACAACAGAGATATCTCCCCAACCCTCCCCATTGTATCCTCTTACGCACAACCCCAGCTTCCAAAAAGGACTCTCTGGGAATGCATATAACGCATACCACACTGGCGGTACACTACAACTAAAAGACATGGTCGAAAATAACACACTTAAATCTCTCGCCAAAATATTGCCCCAGGCCTCCATAACAGGTAACCAACAACTACAATATAATCAATTAAAACAATTCATTAAAAACCAATACCTCATCCTGAAAGGCATATGTAAGCTGATGGCCAAATATTAGTTTTTTTGCTTTTTTCACACAAAAACAAATATGAACGCTAACTTTGGCCAGTGTTTGTGACTAAGTGGCTACTAAAAAGGACTAAACATACCCCACGTTCAATACCTTGGGTTGTCTACATTTTCAAATGGTATGCCATTATGGGGGTAGTTCTCATTCCTGGGCTACCACACCATCTCAAAGGTAACATTACTAATCTGGCAAATTTCAATTTGAAAATGGAACATTCTATATTTGACCCTCTAACTTTCCAAAACACCATAAAACCTGTTAATGGGGGTACTGTTGTACTCGTGAGACATCGCTGATTACAAATATGGGCATTTTTTTGCAGTAATACCTAACAGTATTATGACATTTACAGCTAAAATGTGAGGCGGAACTACATATTTTTAAAAAAATGTTAAGAATTTTCACAGTTTTTTAAATTTTATTCATAATATATTATGTTTCATATATACATATTTGATATGAAATGAAAGCCCTGTGTCTCCTGAACAGAATGATATATAATAAGTGTGGGTGCATTTAATATGAAAAGGTGAATTACGGTTGAACAGACATATAGCGCAAATTCCAGTTTTTGTTTACATTTTGTTTTGATCAGAACGTGTACTATTGACTCCGTCCTGAAGGGGTTAAAAGATTTTTTGATAAGAAATGGTTACCTTGGCTAGATAATCTGATATAACTATATACCTTGTTGCGTTCTCTGTTATGAATATCCTTATATATAAAGATCACTCTAGTTTTTCCCTATGGTACTGTATTCAGGAAAGTTATGAAGTAACCTAATTATTATAGTTTAGGCCCGCCTAATCCGCTCAGTCCTTTTAAATTGTGATATTTGTGTGTGAAGTTTACTCAACAGTTCATATATCCTTCCATTGTAAATCAAAGTCTTTGTCTAATTCTGAACTGTTTTTGTCTGTGATGTTACATTTGTAAAATTTGCAAAAAGAATAATAAAAAAAAAAAAAAAACATAATTCAGAAGTGAATCAAATGAGTCACAGGGGTACAAAAATGTGTCAATCAGTGTAATGCTAAATATATACATAATATAATATTGTGTGTATATTTTACAGTACACTGATAGATGCATTTTGCCACAATTCACAGAAAAAGTATCCAATAGAGGAAAACCTATTAGGAGCAGTAAAAAATAATAATAATAATATAGTTATGTATATATTTATTATATATTTATTACTACTCATTTGTTCCCTCTATTGGCCACATTTCGTTTGATCTGTACATAGAGCCAACATTTACTTACTGCCACTAAGCAATTAATCATCTTTTTGTCCCCATCAATCATCATATTTTTTTTTTTTTTGGTTCTGTGAGCTGAATTTAGAATGACAAATCAAAATGAACATATTCAACATTGCTCAACTTGTTTGGTATTGTTATATTGATACATTCATCTTGGGGTTCAGGATCACCTGATTGACCCAAATTTAGATGAATTGCAGTTTAAATCAAAATGAATCTCCAAGTCTACCAGCAATCGGTTCACCAGCACACTCCTTTTTTTTCTTCTGTTGGTTACTTCTCACTAGATTTGTGAATACATACGGGTGATACTCGAAAAATTAAAATATCGTGCAAAAGTTAATTTATTTATTTTTTATATGCAATGTACAAGGGAAAATATTAGATAGACGCATTATATGCAAAGCAAGATAGTTCAAGCCGTGAACTTTGTCATAAGTGCAATGATTATCGCTTACAGCTCATGAAAACCCCATACCCACAATCTCAGTAAATTAGAATATTGTGAAAAGGTGCCATATTCTATCCTCACAGTGTCCCACTCTAATCAGTTAAGTAAGCTATAACACCTGAAAAGGGTTTCTGAGCCTTTAAATGGTCTTTCAGTCTGGTTCAGTAAGAATCATAATCATGGGGAAGACTGCTGACCTGACAGTTGTGCAGAAAATCATAATTGACACCCTCCATAAGGAGGGAAAGCCTCAAAAGGTAATTGCAAAGGAAGTTGGAAGTTCCCAAAGTGCTGTATAAAAAAGTGTGGAAGAAAAAGGTGCACAAGCAGCAGGGATGACCACAGCCTGGAGAGGATTGTCAGGAAAAGGCCATTCAAATGTGTTGGGGACTTTCACAAGGAGTGGACTGAGGCTGGAGTCAGTGCATCAAGAGCCACCACACACAGACAGATCCTGGACATGGGCTTCGGATGTCGTATTCCTCTTGCCAAGCAGCTCCTGAACAACAAACAACATCAGAAGAGTCTTACCTGGGCTAAAGAAAAACAGACCTGGTCTGTTGCTCAGTGGTCCAAAGTCCTATTTTCTGATGAGAGCAACCTTTGCATCTCATTTGGAAACCAAGGACCCAGAGTCTGGAGGAAGAATGGAGAGGTACACACTGCAAGTCCAGTGTGAAGTTTCCACAATCTGTGTTGATTTGGGGAGCCATATCATCTGCTGGTGTTGGTCCACTGTGCTTCATTAAGTCCAGGGTCAACGCAGCTGTCTACCAGGAGATTTTGGAGCTCTTCATGCTTCCTTCCGCAGACAAGCTTTTTTGGGGATGCTGACTTCATTTTCCAGCAGGACTGCCCACATTGCCAAAAGCACCAAAGCCTGGTTCAATAACCATAGGATTACTGTGCTTGATTGGCCAGCAAATTTGTCTGACCTGAACCCCATAGAGAATCTATGGGGAATTGCCAATAGAAAGATGAGAGACATGAGACTGAACAATGCAGAAGAGCTGAAGGCTGCTATTGAAGCATCCTGGTCTTCCATAACACCTCAGCAGTGCCACAGGCTGCATTGAGGCAGTAATTGCATCAAAAGGGGCCCACACCAAGTACTGAGTCCATATGCATGCTTATACTTTTCAGAGGTCCGATATTGTTCTCTGTACACTCCTTGTTTTATTGATTGCATGTAATATTCTAATTTACTGAGATTGTGGATTTGGGGTTTTCATGAGCTGTAAGCCATAATCATCGCACTTATGACAAATAATGACTTGAACTATCTTGCTTTGCATGTAATGCATCTATCTCATATATTAGTTTCCCCTTTTACGTTGCATTACTGTTATTAATGAACTTTTGCACTATATTCTAATTTTTCAAGTACCACCTGTATAGTGGCTATCCCTACACATTAGTCATCTTTTATTTTCACCCGGTGGCGTACACACAATACATGGGGCCCCGGTGCAAAACTGATCCTTTCCCCCCCCCGACACATACATATAGACACAGACATACATAGAGGCACACACACATACATACATACAGATACATACACACAGACAGACACACACATACATACACACAGACAGATACATACAGACAGAAAGACACACACATACACCCCCCTAACAGACACATACATACATACATACATACACACACACACACACATACACACAGACAAACACACACATACATACAGACACATACAGACAGACACAAACATACACACACCACCGACAGACATACACACAGACACATACACACAGACACATAAACACAGACACATACAGACACACACACATACATACAGAGACACACACACGTACAGTCTGTATGTATGTGTATGTATGTGTGTGTGTGTCTCTATGCATGTCTCTCTGTGTGTATGTCTGTATGTATGTGTCTGTGTGTGTCTCTGTATTTATGTGTGTCTCTGTATGTATGTGTCTGTAGGATACAGACACATACATACAGAGTCACACAGAGACACATACATACAGACACACACATATACATACAGACACACACACATACACACACACACACACACACATACAGACACATACATACAGACAGACAAATACAAATTTTTAAGTCACCCTCCTGTTTCCTACCTTTTGGAGGAGGGTGACATCCCTGGTGTCCAGTGTGGGCTCAGCCTGATGGGAGTCAGAGTTCCTACTCTGACTCTTTCCTCCTTCCTCCCGCGTGGCTCTCTGATAGCTGGTAGGAGTGACGTGCATTCACTTCTTCCCAGCTATGTCTGACAGCATCACAGGGGGCCCAGTCATGCTGTTAAAGTGCCCAGCGCTGACGGGGCCCCCTGACAATCCATCTCCATCGGCTGGCCCTAACAGCATGGGTCACCCGATGGACCCCTTGGGCGGCGGCTCTGGCGGTTTGCCGCGCGGGCCGGGACTGCAAATGATGGTGGCAGGTATCTGGTCGCAGGGGTCCATAGGGCGGCCGGGACCCCTGGAGTGACGGCCCGGTCGCAGCTGCAACCCTTGCGACCGCGTTATGTATGCCAATGTTTTCATCCATGAATTATCTTTATTTTTGGTGCCACAGATGGAACTGAATCACAAAACAAACAAATTGCTTTGGCTGTTGTGCATTTTGTTTGTTTAATGTATTTGTCCATATAGCAGTTCAGAGTTCAGGATTCAAGACAACTCACTGGTTGCTGGAAGTTCATCCAAATAGCAAGTTATTTGGAACCAAAAGTGCAAGTCTAGTTTATATTTGTGTGTGTATGTGATCTTACATATTATTATTATTTATTATTATTATGATATTTATATAGCACCATCAAATTCCACAGTGCTTTACAATGGGTGGACGAACAGACATGTAGTTGTAACCAGACAAGTTGGACACACAGGAACAGAGGGGTTGAGGGCAGGGCCAGACTGGCCCACCGAGATACCGGGAAATTTCCCGGTGGGCCGCGGCACCAGGGGGCCGGCCGCGTTCCTGGGCCGGCCCTTTAAATACTGCAGCCGCCTGAGCGCTCTGTGAAGAGCGCTCGGGCGGCTGCAGCTTCTCCCCTCCCCTCCCCTGTAGCGTGGCCGAGCTGCACTCCGGTCCGCGGTGGCCGGCCGG